TGACGAGGGAGTCGGGAGGGGGGCACTGCGCGCGCGGGGGTCGGTGGGGTCGGAGGTCAGGGCCTGGGTGATGGGGGACCAGCGGTGGGGTAATGCAGTCACCGGCGTTTCAGGGATTGGGGGCACCGGATGGGGCATTCGGGGTGCTCAGAAAACCGGGCGCCTGGTATTGGGGATCGGGGCGGGGGTCCGGCGGGCACCTGGATGGCAGGCAGAGGAGAGGGGAGAGCAGTGGGCTGCGCTGGGCTCCCCGGGAACATGCGAGTCGGACGGGGGAGTAGGTTTCAGGGTTCGGGATTCATGTGGTCAGAGTGTGGGTGAGAGGAGGAGGAGGCAAGGCTGGCGGGTGCCAGAGAGGATCGGACAGGAGTGGTAGAGGGTGGGAGCCGGGGCCTCACGGGTCGGGGGGTCAGAAAGGAAGCTGGGTTTGGGGTGACAGGCAGAGAGAAGAGAGGAGGGATGGTTGGGACCCGGGATTGGTGAGGGGGTGATACAGGGGATGAGGGGCAGGGTCCCTGAGTTTGGGTGGACAGGTGGGGACCAGCAGAGTCCACTAGATAATGGGTTATGGCTGCGGATCCCCGGGTTTGAGGCAGTCAGAGGCTTTGGGGGAACACTTGGGAGTGGGGGCTGCTAGGAGCTGGGTTGGGGGGCCTAGCTGTTGAGTAAAGGGATTTGGGGCTGTGGGTCCAGAGGGCTTGGAGTTTACGCTGGGCAGACGCTAGGCCACAGCCACCTTTGAATTTGCATGTTTGGGGTGTGTGTGGATCCAGAAGATCCTGCTTGCAGACTGGGGAGGGGAGCAGGGAGAGGGTTGGGGGTGTGGGGCACAGCCCGGGACAGAGCCCCAGGGTCCGGGAGGGACCGTGGGGCCTGCTGAACACCCTCCTCTCTCCTCCCCCTTCCTTGCCTCTCTTTGTTCCCCTTCTCTGCCGCACGAACCCAGACATAAACGAGCTGAACTTGCCCAAGACGTGTGACATCAGCTTCTCAGACCCGGACGACCTCCTCAACTTCAAGCTGGTTATCTGTCCTGATGAGGTGAGGACACGCCCCGCCCGACACCCGGGCACTGGCTGGGCCCTGGCCCGTCCTGAGGAGGGAGGCCTGGCTCACCTGCCAGGCCCTGCAGGACGCGCTCTAGGGCCTTCCTCCTCTCTTCCCTCCAGGGCTTCTACAAGAGCGGGAAGTTTGTGTTCAGTTTTAAGGTGAGTCTCGGGTGGGCTGAGGAGGCAACGGCTGAGGCCCCACCAGACCCTGCTGGGCGCCTCTCCACCTCCCCTCTCTTCCCGGAGCCAGGTGGGCCAGGGTTACCCGCACGACCCCCCCAAGGTGAAGTGTGAGACGATGGTCTATCATCCCAACATCGACCTCGAGGGCAACGTCTGCCTCAACATCCTCAGGTGAAGGCCCGGCCCCCCCTGCTCTCCCTGCCCTGCCGGCCAGGCCCCTCACGGCCTCGCACTGAACCAGTGTCCAACCCTTTCCTCCCGCTGTGGTCTGTGTCCCTGTGTCTCTTCATTTCTGTTTTCTTCCTTGTGGCTTGACCTTGACTTTCTCCCTGGCCTGTGCTGCTCTGTGTGCGCCCTCCCCCCAGCCTCCAAGCCACCCTGTCCTGTGCCCTGGGCCTGACCTGTCCAGTCCCAGCAGGGCCTGTGGCAGCCACCCACCCACCGGCCCCTGAACCTCATGCTCTCTGCCCACAGAGAGGACTGGAAGCCAGTCCTTACGATAAACTCCATAATTTATGGCCTGCAGTATCTCTTCTTGGTGAGTAGGGGCGGTGGGTAGGGCTTGGAGAGGTGGGCGCCTCTGCCCCTCAGGCCCGTTGACCCCCCACTCATACTGGCCACAGGAGCCCAACCCTGAAGACCCACTGAACAAGGAAGCTGCTGAGGTCCTGCAGAACAACCGGCGACTGTTTGAGCAGAACGTGCAGCGCTCCATGCGAGGTGGCTACATCGGCTCCACCTACTTTGAGCGCTGCCTGAAATAGGGTCGGCGCACACCCACCCCTGCCAGGGCCACAGCCCCGGCGTCCCCTACAAATATTTATTGGGGGCCACAGGTGGAGGGATTGGGGCAGCAGGCGGGGTCATTCCATGCCCTAGCCTTGCCTCCCCTTCCTGCCACCGGCTCCTAGTTATTTTTTTTTTAACCACCATGTGATTAAGGTCGGCGCTGCCTCCTCCCGACCCGCTCAGCGATGGGAAATGAATTGGCTTGTCTAGCCCCCCGCTGGGTGCCCCGCTGGGTGCCGCACAGCCTCCCACTCTGGGCTCTGGGGTGGGTGGCCAAGGGGACTGGGTGGCTGGGGCCCCGCCACCACTGGAGGTCCCGCCAGGCTATTAAAGGGGAATGTTACTGCATGGCCTCCGCCTCTTCCTTCTGTGGGGCGGGAGGGGCGGGCGAGGTCCACCTTGGCTCCTGGGACGAGAGTGTGGTCCCAGGGCGCCCAGTGCTGAGGGCAGGGTGGGGCCGTTGCACTCGGGGTCCCGCTGCCAGGCTCCGCCCCGCCCCCTCTGCCTTGGGGGGTCGGGGGAGGACCCCGCCTGCTGGGCCAGGAGCCTGAGAGCCGGGGATGTCAGGGAGGAGTCAGAGTCCCTGAATTAGCGGACCCTCGGTGCGTGGTGTGGCGGGATGTCGGACCTGCGGGTCCCGCGCTCCGGGCGTGGCTCGACTGCGCGAACCTGTGCACACCCTCCGCCGGTCGCGGGGAAATGGGAACCAGCGCGCATGCGCCTGGGCGCCGGCCAGCGGCAGAGCGCGTGCGTGTTTTTACCGCCTCCCCGCCTTCCGGGGGTGGGCGGGCCTGTGACGTCAGAGCGTTTAATCCGGAAACGGCGGCGGCGGCGGCAGAGGCGACTAAACCGAGGGGCTGTCGTTGGTGGGCGCTCCCGGGATTCGAGCGAGAGGCTCGTAACCCGGAAGCGGAAGCGGGTTCCCGTCCCAGCTTCGGTGAGTGGCCCCTACCGGGCCTCGGGTCCCGGGTGGGCGCGTGAGCGGCCAGGTACGAGGGGGCCTCGCCCTTCCCCGGACCCTGGCCTCACGGTCCGGGCGCCCGCAGCCGCCTTGTTTTCGCGCACGGGGCCCCGCCCCCCGTTGGTGTACAGAGGCCCCCGACGCCCCCCGTTTTCCCTCCGCAACCGGGTTTCCTTAGCGTTCAGGCCTCCCGATCGGAATGGCGTCCCTACACTGTCAGCTTGGCACTCGGGGCCCCCACTACTGCCCTGAGCCCAGCGTCCAGGGGACCCCCAGCCGCCCCCTCCAGTCTCCCTCCGGGTCAGCCGGCGTCACCCGGCTGCAGGGCTCCGGGCGCTGATGGTCCGCACCCTGCTGTCCCCCGTGCCCCTGGGGCACCCACCCCCACACTTCGGGCCGCGCGCTTTGGCTTCCATTCAGCCTCCTTCCCTGTTCCCCCTTCCCGTTTTGAACACTCCTGTCTGGCCCCTCCATTCTTGCTGCCTTTGCCGCCGCTCTGGGCCCCATGCCGACCGCAGCTAGGCTTCCCACCAGGGGCGGGCCCGCCGCCATGGACCTGTTGTTTGGGCGCCGAAAAACGCCGGAGGAGCTGCTGCGACAGAACCAGCGGGCCCTGAACCGCGCTATGCGGGAGCTGGACCGTGAGCGGCAGAAGCTGGAGACCCAGGAGAAGAAAATCATCGCCGACATCAAGAAGATGGCCAAGCAGGGCCAGATGGTGAGCTCAGGGGGGCGGAGGCTGGGGCGCCGGGCGAGGTGCTCCTCCAGGGAGGCAGCTGCTCCCAGGAAAGCAGAGGGAAGGGTGAGCTCGGCTCCCCAGTCCGGGGGCCAATAGGGCCGCCTCCCTGGAGGTGATGAAGATGAAGAGCAGGTGGCGATCCAGGCAGCAAATGTCAGATGAGAAGTGATGGTGAGGGGAGGGGAAGGGTTGATGGCAGGAGACGCAGGCTGACCCTGCCTGAGCCAGAGTGAGCGGAGCCTGTGGTGGCTGAGGAGCCGGGGCCTGGGCAAGACCAGGAAGGGTTGGAGGCTGAGGCTCAGGCCTGTGGAGGTGGAAGGGCAGCAGGTTCTTGGCCTCATGGGAACTCGGGAACGGGTGTTGTTAACGTTAAGCGCCCAGCCTGTTTTGTCGTCCGGGCGCCTAATGTGTTAAGGGGGGACCTCAGGCACAGGGTCCGAGAAGTGAGGAGCCGTGCAGTGGCTGGTGGGAGCAGTGTGAGCACTGGGTTTAGCCACAGGGAGGTCCCGGAAGTTCCCCACTGAACGGTGGCTCCCTGCCACCTTTGTCCCCTCAGGATGCTGTGCGCATCATGGCCAAGGACCTGGTGCGCACACGGCGTTACGTGCGCAAGTTTGTGCTGATGCGGGCCAACATCCAGGCCGTGTCCCTCAAGATCCAGACACTCAAGTCCAACAACTCTATGGCGCAAGCCATGAAGGGTGTCACCAAGGCCATGGGCACCATGAACAGACAGGTGCGTCCCTCCCGTCCCCCTCGCTGCCCCACACCTCGGGACCACACTCACCCTCCCCCCATTGCAGCTGAAGTTGCCCCAGATCCAGAAGATCATGATGGAGTTTGAGAGGCAGGCCGAGATCATGGACATGAAGGAGGAGATGATGAACGATGCCATCGATGATGCCATGGGAGACGAGGAGGATGAAGAGGAGAGGTTTGTGGACACCAGGTGGGGGAGGGGATGGAGGCCTGGCCCTCAACGGTACTGACCCTCAGTTTTCCTTCCCCAGTGATGCTGTGGTGTCCCAGGTCCTGGATGAGCTGGGGCTGAGCCTGACAGACGAACTATCCAGTGAGTGCGTCCGGCCTTGGGCCCTGACCCCACCCCGACCCCCCTCTGCCTTGCTGCTCTCACAGGGGCTCCAACCCCTCTCCCTGCAGATCTCCCCTCCACCGGAGGCTCCCTCAGTGTGGCTGCCGGAGGGAAGAAAGCAGAGGCTGCGGCATCGGCCTCTGCCCTGGTGGATGCCGACGCAGACCTGGAGGAGCGGCTCAAGAACCTGCGGAGGGACTGACTGCCCCAGGCCCCCCAAGGGCCTGCTCACTGTACCCTTTCTGTAATAAAAGCGATTGGACACTAGTCCCTGGGCCTGTGTGACTGGCCTCGTGTGGGCCAGACCGGGGTCCCTTGGGCAGGAGTCACTCAGGGCTGGTCAGTATGGCTGCCCAGGGGATAAAGAGCCAGACGCGCTGGGGGTGGGCTGGGAGGACAAGGAGGGACTGACCCCTTCCAGGCTTCCAGCACCTCAGCCTCCACAGCATCACCTCCAGATGGGTGGCTCCTGGGAGAGCAGAGGCCTGTCTGCCAGGTATATAGTGCCCCACTCAGCTTGGCCAACAGGACTCAGCCCACCAAGCTCAGATGGTTACCAGCCAGTGCAGGACAAGCCTCGTGTGTGGGCCCTCCCAAAAATGAGGGTGCTCCTCCGTCACCAGGGCTGGACGTGGGACAGCTGTGAACAAGTGGCCCCAGCCCTACTCGGCCCAGAGAACTTGGGAGGGATAGATGTCGGCAGAGATCAGACCCAGAAAAACTGCCCCCACCAACCAGGACACGAGGAACTTGTGACGTTTTTATTAAATCCACAGAAGTAAAAACCATATTGTGAGGGGCCGGGGAATGGGGCTACCAAGGAATGGGAGCCAGACCACCAGAGGGGAAGGGCAGGGCTGACAAGACACACCCAGGCTGAGGTGGCTCAGGGGCCATCACCAGGGCCACTGGACAGCTCCTGGGAGCTCAGGCCGGCACCAGGCAGGCTCAGCGGTGGGGGCTCCACCAGCACAGCAGAGAACTTGGTGTCACCAAAGGCCTCATTCATCCGAGTCTCAAAGAAGCGCTGCAGGCCGATGATGGACTGCACGTCCGCCTTGTCCTGGGCACACAGAGTTGGGCGGTGGGTTCCCACTCTCCCCCAGCCCCAGCCCCAGCCCCAGCCTTCGCACAGACTCACCTCTGTCAGCTTGTTGAACTGCTTGAACATTCGGCCCACGTCCTGGGCAAACTCTTGAGGGGAGCTGTAGGGGGGCGACAACTTCTCCTGGAGGCGGGCGCGGATCAGGGTCAGGTCCAATGTGCCACCAGGCTGATCCTAAAGGGAGAGGTCACAGGCTGAAGGTGAGGCGAGGCAGCCCATGCCCCCCACACCCCACCCCAGGTCCCAGGACTCACCACAGAAAAGCTGGAGTCGGTGGCCAGCTGGTGCAGGGGCCGGCAGGGCTCGTGGCAGAAGAGGGCCAGCAGGACACGCTCACACTTCTGTGGACAGTCGGGTAGGACTCATCAGAGCACAGTTGCAATCGGGCGCGGAGCATGCAGCTGCTGAGCAGCCAAGGGAACGGCCCCCCCTCACCTGCTGGTTGGCTGGCGAGAGCTTGGCCACCACACCGCTGCTGTCCCCACCATCCAGGCTCAGGCTGCCGTCCTCCTCCTTCAGGTCAGGCAGCACGTGGCAGAGTGAGCAGCTCCACTCCTCCCCGGGCACATCCTGCAGGGCCGGCAGGTGGCAGTCCAGGTGGAAGCAGAATTCGCACTGGTTGCACATGACCAGGTCACCTGGCTTCTGACAGACACGGCAGATGGTGGCGCTGTCATCCAGGGCACCAGGGCCACCAGCTGAGGCTGAGGTGCCCTCTGGAGCCACCACCTCCAGGCCGGAGCTGGTGCTGCCACTGGGGGAGACCAGGCGGGGACCCTCCGCACCAGGGCCCTCTGCCAGAGCCATCAGCACAGGCTTGGTCTCGGGGCCCTCGGTGGCAGGCGGGGCGCCGATGGCAGCCTCTGTCTCTTCCTCCTGGAAGGAGATGCTGGGGTTCAGCAGGGTGCAGGCCTCAGCAGAGGTCCTTTACCAGCCACGTCAACTGGGGACAGGCTCACCTTGACAATGGCCATGCCAGGCAGGGGCTGGGCACCAGGGGTGCCAGGCGCAGTCCCCGGCTGCCCGGCAGCAGCAGCTGCAGCCCCGCGCTCAATGACGATCAGGTTGTAGTCCTCGGTGGTGCTGCCTGGGAAGACCTTGAAGACTGGCGGCTGGCTGTCAGCTGTGAGGTCAAGATCCAGGCGCTCGAGGCTCACCCGGGGCACCTTGCGCATGAGGCCGCTCACTTCACCCTCACCTGAGCGGGACCTGTGGGCGCAGCTTGGTGTAAACACCCCTACCTATCCCTATGCCCACCGGCTCCAAAGGACAGCCACACTCACCGTTTCATGCCTGACACATGGGGCTCTGCACTCATGTAAGAGTCATCTGCTTAGAAGACAGAGGGGGGATGGTGGGTGGGTGGAGCTGGCGCACTGGAGCTCTGCCACCTACCCACAGACCAGACCCAGACCCAGACCCACTTACCTGATGTGAAGCCATAGCCTTCCTGCACCTCCATGGGCTGCAGACAAAGCAGATTGGACTTCAGTGGGCAGGTGTCCCAGAGGACCACACCCCTCCCTCCTTCCCAGGGCCCCTTGCCCTGCTCACCTGGCTGCCGCCAGAGCCCTGCTTGCTGCTCAAGGGTCCCGGAGCCCGGGGAGGGGCCATGGGCGCAGGGCCCGTTGAGTTGGTGCCAGGACGCTCCGCCACGATCTTGCCTGCAGGAAGGAAACACATGAGGCACAGGTTCCCGGAGAGATGGTCAGGGCAGCAAGAGGAAGACAAGGACCCACCAAAGGCCTCGGCGCTCTTGGTCCAGGCGTTGAGGTCCCACTGGAACTTCATCTCGCCATGGGGCTCCACGGGGTCCACGATCATCTTGAGAGCCCGGTGCAGCTGGAAGTAGATCTGAGGGTGGAGGGTGGGGCGGTGAGTTCCCGGCATGAGGTGCCTGAGGCCCCCCCACGGGCACCCAGCACACACCAGCTTCTTGGAGAGCAGGAGGGCGGTGTTGTTGTCGCTCTCCAGAGCCCACGAGGCGAAGCGCAGGATGTGCTCCTGGTGCTTCTGGATCTTGGTCATGGTCCAGTGCTGCCGCTCCAGGCGCTCCTGCTGCCCCTCCGTTACTTTTTTGCGGGGGGGGGGGGGGGGGGAGTGTCAGGAAGGGAGAGGGCTAGGGCCCTCCCCATGCAAGGATGGCGCCAGCAGAGGGTGCCTGTCCCCGGGCCTCCCCCGTAGGTAATACCTGGGCATCGTTGACCAGCACGCGGCCCCGCTTGTTGAGCTCCTTCATGATCTGCAGAATAGCCATCTTCACATCCACCTGGACGCGTTTCTGCACGTCAGACACTTGGCGAATGCTGGGGGAGGGGGCCAGGTTAGGTCTGGTCAGGCAGATGGCAGATGCTCAGGGGACGCCCCCACGGCCCTGGCGTTCACTTACGAGCTGCGAACCTCCTTGGTGTTCTTCTGCAGGGTGGCATGCTTGTCCCCGAGGCGCTTCACCAGCGAGGCCAGGAGCTTGCGCTGGTTCCTCACGGCGTCCTCCAGGAACTGGTACCTGAGGGCAGACAGAGGTGAGCCTGGACGCCAAGCACGGAACAGGCAGGGCCCCCACCCCCTCGGGACTCACTGATGGTCCTTGTGGGCGTTGAGCTGGCAGTCCCGGCAGGTGAGGGTGTCACAGCTCTCGCAGAACAGCACGAGTGGCTCGTGCTTGTGCACGTTGCAGTACACTGTGCGCTCCCCATCTCGGGACTTGGCTGGCCCTGGGGAACAGGTACCGTGAGGACAGCGCATCCTCAGCACCTCCAGCTCCGGGGACCTCACTCCCTGCCAGTCCTGCAACCCCGTCTACTGTGCAGCCCAGAGGGCCCTGCAAGAGTGGCCGGGGAAGGGCACAGGCCCCCGAGGCCAAGTCCTTGCTCTCAAAACCCTCTGCCCAATCCCAGCTGAGACCCCACACACAGGTCAGCCCCACTTCCAGCTCCTCCAGGAGATGCAGTGTGAGGGTGATGGACACGGAGAGCTTCTCTGCCTCCAACAGCCCCTTCTCCTCCACTCAGCTCGCTCTCTGTCCAGCAAGGGAGGGGATTCCGGGGGCTGTGGCAGCCCAGCACAAAGAATACTTGCTTCCTGGCACACACAGGCATCAAACCAGGGCCCAGAGACCACTGCTCAGGGGTGGGGCCCTCCCGGCTCCTCCTACAAGCACGGACCCACAAGGGGCCTTGCCAGCCTGAAGCTGGGAGGTGAGTTGTCAGCCCTGGATGCTGGGACAGGTGCAGGCCCCTTCCTGTGAGGGAGGATGCTGGTGCTCAATTAATCCACCCAAATGGGGACACCTTACTGTCCCCCCTCAGAGCCTGTCACCACGAGAAAGCTGTTTGGGAATCCGTTCCTTTCCTCCCCAAATCCACAAACATCCCAACTATACCAACCCTTCCTGACAGACCAGCCAGGCTGGGTTCCTCCAACACTGCCTCCTCCTGCGCCCTGACCTTTGCCTGAATCCTAGGATCCAGAGACCTCCCTCCACCCTCCATCCTCCATCCCCCTCTCCACACCAGCACTGTCCTGGGCCGGAGCAGCCGCGGTAACTACCAAAGGGCCACTTGTGGGGAGTTACAGACCAAAACCCAGGGAGACTCAGGAAGGAACCAGCCTGTCTTCACGCCACTGGCAGCAGCCACAGAAGGTGTGGAGGCCCCGATGACCTTACAGATAAAACCCTCCGGACTCACTGCGGGTTGTGGCCTGCGGGTTGTGGCCTGAGGGCTCTCTCTGCTCGTGAGGCAGTTACGGCCACAGGTCTCTTGCCCAGAGTCCTGAGCCTGGTGCCAGGCGGTCCCAACCCCAGGTCCAGGAGGCCCTAGCTTCCCAGGCCCTCACACCTCAGTGTCTGCACCTGCCAGTCCCTCCACTGCCGGCTCTTCCCCTCCCTGGGGCTTCCCTGACCCACTGAGGTCCCTGCCCACTCCCCACCCCCTCTGGCCGTTCCCCTCCCACCTGGACCAGTGGAGCCCCCACTTCTGCCCTGGCCTTTGCAGTTCCGTCCCCTAGAGAAGCTCCAGGGCCCACCACCCGCAGCCCTGTCACCAGCGGTGACAGCAGGCCCCGGGCCGCGTACCGGTGGAGCGTACCGGTGGAGCGCACGGTGTGGTCCTTGGTGTACTTGACCCGCTGGTGCGCCTCCACGCAGGTCTCACACAGGGGC